ACGACATAATGCTGCCTCTTGGCCAGGTCGTCCTTGTAAATGAGCACTGGTTCTCAACTGACTTCTCTGGTTAAATAAAGGTAAAATAAAATAAATGAATAAAACAAAGACATTCAGCCTGAAAAATACTTTCCCCAATATGATTTAAAAAAAAACAAAAAGGGGGGAGATTTTTTACATCCTTAAATAATAACACTAAGAATAATAACAATACATATTTATTATATTAATACATGTAATTATTTAGTGCAATAATAATTATTATTATACATTTATATATTATCAAGTATTATTATTATACATTTTATCCATACTTTGCTTTCCATCCCATCAACCCTGGAATACATTTTTAATGGAATAGTTTGACTTTTGGGGAACTACGTTCATTTGATTTAAGGTGGAGGGAGCAGATTGGTACCACCGTCAGCATACTTTTGACCAAATAACCCAAAAAATGTCAAAGTATCTCTTTGTTGCAGCTAATATTTTGGATATTGTTTTTGGTAATTACAACAGAGAAGTTGCTGCACTTGACAATGATCCAGAGCAAACATTCCTTGCTAAGGTTAGGTATCAACCTCTGGTAAACAAATACTTTCTTGCTATTTGTGAATGAACGCAGACTACTTGTGTTTATCTTTGACAGTCTGGGCAGTGTCCTTAAATTAGAGGTTGGGTTTTTTTTCAGAATGCAGGGATGCCAATGTGAGGTACTCAGCAATGGAGCCGTTATGTCTGCAGTTATTGGCATTAGCTGTATTTATAAGACACACTGTATTTTGTATCCTTGGAGTTGGAGAAATATAGAAACACAATAAATCACAATGTTTACAGTGGAGTTTTGTTGCAGTTATTGTCATCATTTATGTTGTAGGTGCTATAAATTGTGTGAACATAAATACAAATACTAAAATTAGTGTGTGTGTGTGTGTGTGTGTGCTCTTCTACAGCTTTGTCAGGACCAATTTTAGTTTTATACTGTGAAAATTAGGATATTGGGCTGGACCTCACTTTTCAAGACTTTTTGTTGTGAGACAGAATACGTTTACATGCATAAACATAAACACAATGCATTGTACTTGCATCTTGGCAGGTGTTTTTTTTTATTTAACATGTGAACATATATACCAAAATGTTTATGCACTTTATTGAGAAAAAAAGTTTTTAAGTTTAAGTTTAAAGTCAGGCTGAAGTCTTTTTGCAGCCCTTAGAAAGACAAGATCAACATTGTCATGTAAAATAAAATAAATAAAGAGACTACAAACTAGAGAAAACTGATTAATAGTGTGCTAATATAGACATAAAGAAACATTTGGGAACATGTGCACATACAAATTTCTGTGTCTTTCTGCCAATCCTCCTGTGTGTGTGTGTGTGTCAGTGTTGGGTAATAGTGTGCAAGTTGAAGTTTTAAACTGACAGCAATAACTCTGACGTCAGCATTTACAGTATAGTTCTTCCTAATCCCCAGGATAAGCAGAGACTGAACAGTGCATTATATTTTCACTGCTTACCTTGCAGTGTGGAGGAAGATAAGATACTATCTGTGAGATGAACAGCAGAGCACATTGTGTTTCCCGTGTCACTGGACTGGCCATGGTGTGTGTGTGTCTGCATGTGTGTGTGTGGACCTTAGGAATACAATATACATAGTCATACATTGTATAATGTTTTTTTTATATTGGGAAGCCAATAATATATGGAAGTGTTCAAAATTAAATGAATTAATCTTGCAATATATAATCACACGAATAAAAGGTGATATATATAATTGAACCAATAATTGCGAATCATTTCAGAAATGATGCAATCTCATCTTTTATTGGAGCCACTTTAACTAAACGGTCTTTTGAAAAAGCTTATAACGCCTCCTACCTCTTTTAAGAAAGTAAGCTGAACATCCGGTCCCAATTTTAGCTCCTGTTAGCCAAAGCACCAGCAGTGTCAAGGTAATTCTGAATCAACCAACTAGAGGCGGCTGCTCCGAATAACAACAGTTCACTGTGAAGAGCAAAAAGACAGAGAGTCTCTGTGACTGCTCAAGTAAATCTCAACTAAAGAATGAAAATAACATTTCACAGTAATGGGGCTGAGTTTTAGCAATTTCTTGAATTAATTCCATTTTCTCACAATTTATTTATATTATTATATCTTTCATTAAGTATTTTATTTATTTGGTGTGCATGCTGAAATCCAGACTAAGGGGCCTGATTAAGAGTGATTCACAGACACTGTATGAATCAGCCAAGATGGAGCTGAACTACCTTACCCGGGAAAAAGGGGAAACCGGGGTCCCTTCCTAGAGCTAGACCTGGTCACTGGGCCTTGACCCGAAAAACTACATGGAGCCACCGCCATGTGGGTCCACCACCCGCAGGGATAGGCACTGGATTTGGGTACGTTGCAATGTGGCCTGCCTGATCTTACCTACAGTGGGGTTTTGTTATTGGACTGTGATAGTCATGGATTGGCCATAAAAAAACATCATGTTCTAGCATGAAGAGATTGTCCGGTATGGGAATCTCAGAATAGTCTCTTGGCTTTTTGTAGATGATGTTGTTCTGTTGGCTTCATCAGAACTAACTGACATGAAGCCTAATAATAATAATGGATCAATGGGAAAAAAAACTTATTTTTGTGGATCCACTGTGTGTCTTCTGCTAAAACACAACAAGGATGAGTTTATCTCACAGGCAGAAAATGAAAAATCACTTAATCTGACGCTATTTAGATGCCTTCTAAAACTAAGAGAGATGACATAAAGAAGCATAGAGCCTTTGGGTTTCCTTCATATTTCTCTACAGCACGGTCGGTGTACTTGTGTCTGACCTATTCAAGAAAAAAAATGGGGCAGTTACCAAGCAGAGAAACCAATCGTTCATTCTAAAAATATAATCTCAGAGCCCAGTTGGAGAGAGGTGGTGGTGTACAGTCCTCCTTTCTTTCTCTCTGTCGTGGCTCAGAAGAAGCTGCATATAATAAACAAGGCTTGTTTGATCATTATCCAAATGGCCAGTCATGCCCAACCTCACCACAGGCTCACTGTTTAACTGTGGTGTGCCGAGTATCTGGAGATTTGTCTGATAATTGGTTTGTTTGATTCTGGGAAGAACTTTAAGGAGAAGGATGACTGGTTATAACAGGTGAGAAAGATAAAAAAATACAAAAGTTTTGCTACCAGATATTTTATAGAGATAGTAGACCTGAGATCTCTAAGACAGATATTGACAGCCTTTTCTACAAGACCACTACATGAAATTAGATCAAGGCTGTTTTTTTAGAGCAACCATGTGATTTGGGCCACAGGTCCCAAGATGGAATTGGGAGGCCTAGAAAAGCTGTACATGGTGTTTCTGGGAAAGAATGATCCTCCTGAAAAACACCAATTTAAGACAGATGCTGCTCTCATGGTTTGACCCAATCTTGTCTTGGGTAGCTGGTGAACAAGAAATGAACGGTGGTTATTTTTGTTAGGGTATCGCCTGAAAAATGACACCCTCCAGTCTCAGTAACATAGAACTGAAGTTTTTTTGAGCAGCAGCCAGAGATATAATTCATTAGAAAGGACCACTGTAATGAGCCAGCATAGACAAAGCACCCAATTTCCAGTGTGTCCTCTTTCCCCTGGGAGCTGTGATCATAATGGCTGTGCTGTTTGTTGCCTGGTTTCATGCTGAATCATGATCACACAGCCAAAGGCCCCCTTTTCTCACCCCTCTCCCTCCTGTCTCTGGAAAAAGAGAACATCAATTCTGCTTGCAGATTATGTCATTTGCATGAGACAAGTGTGATTTGATTTATTTAATTATTTCACCAGCCTTCTTCGTCTTTTATTTATTTATATTTTATTTTTAAACCTCGTCGGATCTCCTGATGGGAAGCCCTGTAGCAGCAGCAATCCCGCTGGCAGTGATCTATAATGGTCAACAGCAGGGCAGCTTGTAGTTTATGTGGTAACCAGCCTATAGTGACGTAACTCAGTTTAAAGTTTAAGAATGAAAAAGACATCAGTGGCACATTGTGGTTCATGCATTAAGAGGGCTTCTTATTTGTGACCAAACTCCCCAAATTAAATAATTAATAATTCATATAACATGATATGCATGTTATAACTGTGAAGCATCATCTCAACATCACAACAAACCCCAATGCAACCTCCTGTGTATTGCTCAGGCATAAACAGATAATGCTTTCTGCCCATTTGCCTTTGGTTTTCTTTGCTCATCTGTGCTCTGTCCATTAGTCTTTTCTACACTGGCATGTATTCCCCCCATGTGTCTCCAGCTGGAGCACTCAGCAGTCACTTTACTGCTGAGTGGACCTCTCAAGCATATTAGTTTATAATTTTTTCATGTACACTTGCATTTTTATGATAATAGGCTATTATTGCTACATAATGGATTTTTGTGTTCGAGCCTTAATGGAGCCTGTGCAATTCAGTTCATTCTCCTCTATTAGGGTTTAGGTTTGTTGACGTTTTTGTTTTTTTATGCTAAATTATATTTCACAATTTATTATTATCAGTGTTATTTTTAGTAATGAACAAACTATAACATAAAATAATACAGCCACTATAAAATAATATTAAATTCAAAACAGCATTGCACCAGAAATGTATACAACTATTGATACAATAAAAAGAATTAGGCTTGACAAACATAAAACATAAGGTTTACATACAAGAAAAATCACCAAAACATAAAAAAAACTTATTTCCTTTTAGTTTCAACAAATCTCATAGATTGTGTTTGATATTTTAGGTCTGCTAAAATATAAATCAAGCTTCAACACGGCTTTAAGGAATTTGTACTCGTATATTGGTTAATATGTATATATAAATAAATGTATTAGTATTTGTGTATTTTGATGTGTTTTAATCATTCCATAAAGTTT